TGACGACTTCGGTCCCTTCGAGGAAGGGCCAGGTTCTACTTTTAACTCTTAATGATAGTTCTTTCATGAAATGTTGAGGTTTGGGAGATACCAGACAAAAAAGTGATATTAAACTGTTAGTAAGGAAATGTAAACCTTATATTGTAATCTTGTAAGAAATTAAGCCTGTTTTTCCAAATTTTGCTTTGGTTAAGGATATTTGGGCTCATGGGGTAGTTAAATTTGAGGGTGTGGATGTTATAGGGGCCTCAGGTGGGCTCTAGATTCTATGGGATCCCCTCTCTCATCATTGTTTGAGTGTGGAGAGAAGGGATATGTTTGTGGCTATCTTTTTTCTGGGGCCGACTTTTGGTAATTCTTGGGGTATTGTTAACATTTATGGCCCTGTGATACTTCCGCTCAAAGAAGCATTTCTTAATGATCTTGGTGATGTTTTACTTGCTTATGATGTGTCAATCTGTTTGGTGGTGACTTTAACTTCATTCGTTGGCTAGATGAGACCTCGTCGAATATTGCGATCAATTTTTCAATGCGATTGTATAATTCCTTTATTGAGCGACATCAGCGCTTTGATTTACCCCTCGCGGGGGAAAATTTTACTTGGTCTAATAACAGTGCTAATAGTCTGGTTATGTCCAAGCTTGACCGTGTTTTGGTGACTCATAATTGGATGGAAGCTTTTCCTCTGGCAACAGTCAAAGCGTTGTCGAGACTTTCATCTGATCACACTCCATTATTACTTAATACTAGCTTAAGTAATAATGGGAAAAAGCCTTTTAAATTGGAGTTGGCCTGGTTGGATGAAACGGGTGTTGCCGATTTGATCAAATCCACTTGGGAGAATTCTATTAGCTTTGGGTAAATGGATTTCCAGCTTCATAAAAAGCTTCTCAACGTTAAAAATAAACTGGTAAGTTGGAGATCTGAGAACTTCTACTCAATCAAAACTAAAATTAGCAATATCCTGGATGAGTTACAGAGATGGGATCAGGACATTCAACAAACGAGCCTTATATCTGAGGTTGCTATTGGGTTGAGAAACAAGTTGTTGTCGTCTTTGGATGGCTCTTAATAGAGCTAAGGAGATCTACTGGAAACAAAGGTCCAGGATAAAATGGCTAAAAAAAGGTGACCGTAATACCAAGTTTTTCCATGCTATTGATAGTGCACGCAAGAGATGGAAGGGCTTGTCCGGTCTCCTGATCCCGGGTGTGGCTGAAGATGATAACACAGCTTGGGAAAATAGTATCTTGACTCACTTCCATAAAGCTTCTCTACTGAAATCCCCTTCAGGCCTAATTTGAACAGACTGGCCTTTTCGACTATCCCTTCTTCTGTTGCTGATAGTTTGGAAAAAGGGGTTTCGATGGATGAACTTAAGCTAGTAGTGTTCAAACTCCTTAGAGATAAGGCCCCAGGACTAGATGGCTTCCCCTTGGCATTCTTTTAGAGATTCGGGCCGGTGGTTAAACTAGAGTTGTTGAAGATGGTGAGGGAGTTTATGGTAACTGGGGAGTTTTTTAAAGGTATAAATGCCACTTTTATTGCTTTAATTCCTAAAAAGTCTGTTATATCTGCTCTCTCAGATATTAGACCTATCAGCCTTCTCACTAGTCTCTATAAAATTGTAGCTAAAATCCTTATTGAAAGGCTGAAAACAGTCATCCCTATGCTCATCTCGAATACACAGTCAACCTTTATTCAAAATAGGTTGATTTCAGACAGTGTTTTAATTGCTCAAGAGTGTATTCACTCTAGATTGATAAGCAGAGAACCGGGGGTAGTGATTAAGCTGCATTTGAAGAGAGCATATGACATAGTAGAATAATTTGCTAAAGACTATGAAACAAATGAGTTTTGTACATAGATGGAGAAGCTAGATCTTTGGTTGTCTTTCAACAGCGCATTTTTCTGTTCTCATTAATGGAAGCCCAAAAGGCTTCTTTAGAGCATCTAGGGATTTTAGACAGAGCGACCCTCTTTCACCCTTTCTGTTTGCTCTGTATGCGGGATGTTTTAGTAAAATGATATGTAAAATTGTGGAAAGGGTATTTTTCAAGCTTTAATATATCTCAAAATAATATCTGAATTTCCTACCTTCAATATGCTGATGATATACTACTCTTTTGTGTGCTAGTAGAGAACAAGTTGATAGGATTGAGAGGTTTTTTATCTGTTGTGAGGTATTAATGGGGTTGAAAGTTAATTTTAGAAAAACGACTATGATTGGGGTTAACTATGACGAGGATATGGTCAGAGTCCTTGCTTTGAGGTTCGGATGTAGGGTGGAAAAATTCCCCTTTAAGTACCTAGGTTTGCCAATATCAGATGGAAGCATACCGGTTGCTGCTTGGGGCAGTGTTATTCAAAGGGTTTAAGATGGAGTTGTGGAAGCCTAAGTACATATCCTTGGGAGCTCGAGTTACTTTACTCAACTCTTATTTAGCAAACCTTCTAATATATCAAATGTCTCTGTTATGTATGTCGAGGGCTGTGATAAAGCGTATCGAAAGTATGATGCACAATTTTCTATGGGGCTCTTTTGGTGAAAAGAGGAAATATCACCTTATTCAGTGGGATGAGGTTTACACACCAAAGAGGGAAGGAGGTTTAGGGGTGAGGAGACTGCCAATTATGAATGAAGCGTTGCTCTGTAAGTGGTGGTGGCGAAGTCTTACATGCAAAGAACAACTTTGGTGCAGAGTACTCCTATCAACGTATGGAGTCGATAATTTTGGTATGTGGATTTGCAGAGGAGAGGGTAGAGAAAGTACGTCTCCTTTATGGAGAGATATTTTTGCCCTAAGACAGATAGTTGATCGCAACACTCGGTAGTTGGTGGGCGAGGGTACAATGGTTTCGTTCTAGCATCACAAATGGCTGGGAGATGAGCTTTTGAAATATGTTTTTCCCCTTTTATATGAGAAGGCCAACTTGCCGCAGGCAACGGCAGCAGATGTGATGGAGTTTAAAGGCGACAAGATTAGCTGGAATATCACTTTTCCTTATAATAGAATTCATAGTCATCTCTACCTGCCGTTTGTTAATATGTTATGAGAACTTGAGCTTACTTCTATTACGCAACATAATGAGGATGAAGTGGTGTGGGAGATTGAAAATGATGGCCAAGTTTTGGTTAAGTCTGTTCCTAATGTTCTGTTCTTTGATAGGGTTTGTTGGACTCTACCAAAGATTTCACAAATATGGAGATGGCATATTCCACATAAAGTTCAAGTATTCCTTTGGTTAGCGACTCAAGATAAAATCTTAACTGTTGATAACTTGATTAAGAGATGAAAGATTATCACTAATGTGTGTCTCATGTGCAAGGAAGATGGCAAGAGTGGACCACACTTGTTTATTCATTACTCGTTTATATCCAGAATCTGGTGGTGGTGTTTTCAGTTGTTGGGCCTTAACTTAACCCTACCACAAATTGTCCTAGACCAGATAACTCAACTTGAGGTGCCTCTACCAAAGATTGGGAATTCTATCTAGAAGTTTCTCTGAGGCGTTATTTTGTGGGAAGTGTGGTTTGAATGAAGAGTTTGTAGATTTGACATGGTGTTAAATAAAATCAAACTTTCCCTATGGTCGTGGTCGTCGATGACCAAGGAAGGCTTGGGCTTGTCGAAGGTTGATGTCATGATTAACCTTTCTAACCTCTTTCTTTTGGATGTGCCAAAGATCAGACCATGCACCAGATGGAAACCACCAGATCGAGGAGTGCTAAAACTAAACTTTGATGGAAGCTCGTTAGGTAACTCAGGCCCAACAGGTTTTGGAGGAGCTATCCGAGATTGGGAAGGTCAGGTTATTCTCGCTTTTGTTGGGCCGTGTGGAGTTACCACGACTAACCAGGCTGAAATGCTCAGGATTCTCCATGGTCTGAAATTATTACTAGCAGAAAATTATGTGGGAGGTATCATCATAAAAGGGACTCAACGAATGTGGTTAAATTGTGTAAAAAAGAGCAATATATTCCCCTAGAAACTCAAGTGGATCGGGAATCAAATCTTTGAGCTTCTGTCCTATCTGACTAGCTCCTTGCAATGTGTGTATAGGGAGGCCAATGATTTAGTTAATTCCTTAGCTAAAAAGGGTGTCTATCTTGCTACTTTTGTTTCCTTTGCTGATATCGCTACAATCTTTTAATTCCGCTTATTATCAATAAATATTGAATTTTATCAAAAAAAAATAAAAATTTTGAAATAGTTTCTCTCTCTAAAATTTGATATAGTTTTTCCCTCTAAAATTTTAATATACTTTCTCTCTAAAACATAATTTGCGATTATTTCTCTCTTTAAAAAGTTTGTGATAATTTCTCTCTTTAAAATTTTTCAAGTAGTTTCTCTCTCTAAAATTCGACATAGTTTTTCTCTTTAAAATTGTTAGATATTTTCTTTCTCTGAAACTTAAACTTTGTGATAGTTTCTCTCACTAATTTGTGGGTATGTTTTAGTGGAATTAATTGTATTTAATAAAAAAAACCTCTGGTGTGTAAAAATAAACCCGCATAAATATTCCCCATCTCCATAATTGAGACTCTATTTTCACTTGAATTGATCCAATTTGTGGCAAATACCAAATGTACTTGAATTTTCACACGAAAATATTTTACATAAAAGTATTTTCGTACCCACCAATGGTACCTGTTATTTAGGCTATTTTGATATTTTCCGTTTTTAAATAGAATAACTTTGTCGACAATTTTGAAACTTCAGGAGGGGAGATCGTTTTTCGTAATTCGACGTGGCCGACACCAAATCCTTTTTTTCCCGTCACCCATCACGAGCACTGACGTAGTCGTGTGCCAAAACTCAAACGGTCGGGCTGACGCATATGTGTCAGCCCGCATATTGTAGAATGCGAACTTGACGATAAACATATTTTTTAAATATAATTTGATCTTAAGTTTTAGAAAATATTATAATTTTTATTGAAAATTAAGAATATAAAAAAAAATTTAAAATTTAAATAATAATTATATTAAAAAAAGATTTGTTTCATATGGACTTTCATTATTAAGGTGGATCCTTTATGCTATCACCGCATATTGTAGAAATGCTGCCCAGCCCGCATGAAATAACTTAGAAAGCAAGTTCCCCGAACCAAACGGTCGCGTAGACTTCACTGATACAGAACCACTGCACAAGCCTTCTGTGCTGGTGTTCTTGTCTGCACCACAAACTTCTCAAGAGAGAGAGCCATGGATGTGTTCTTGAACTTCTGTCATAAGGACACGGGAAAGCGCTTCACAGCCCATCTCAACAACGCTCTCAAACAATCAGGTCTTTCAACTTCCTTCTTCTTTCAACAACAACAAGATGGTGATGATAGTACGAAAATAGGGGAGATCATATTACCCCGTGATACGCAGAGAGCCATTGAAAATTCTCAGGTTTTTATATGTATATTTTCCCGCAATTACGCTTCCTGTGTCTCCTGCCTTGAGGAGCTATCTTTTGTGGTGAGGTTGGAGGGGAGGACAATTCTTTCTGTGTTTTACCATGTCGAGCCTTCTCATGTCGGATGGCAAGCAGGGGTCTTTAAGGCGGCTTTCGAGGATCATGAAATTAGGTATGATGGGGAGAGAGTGGAGAGGTGGAGAAATTCTCTCAAAGAAGTTGGCAAATTTTCTGGTTGGGATCTTGGAGACGGGTATGGCCTCACTTGCATTTTATACTCTCTCTCTAGCCCACAATGTAAAATTTTCATTAAACTAGTTCAGTTGTATTCTCTTTCTTTTTCAGTTTTCTTATGATTTAGCATGATTAACTTAAGCACATGCTAAGCACATGCAATGCAGAAATCCTCAAGGCCTATTTAGGATGCCCTCTATATAAAACTAGAATATACAGCAATACCAAATTCCTTTTTATCTATGATCCTACTTTAATTTTTGCTTATAAGTTCTATTCCAGTTGCCATTAATTATTAATACATTAAAAGTGTGATTAGTCCCCTTCTTCACGAGTCTGCATTACAGAAATCTTTGAGGCCTATTTGGAAAGGCCCTTTATATCGTGACTTTACTGCAATGTTGTAGGGTACCTGACTGTAAACAGAGAGCAACATAATGGCCCATTTGAATAGCCCGTTGATGTACTCAACGTTTGCTTTTCTTGATGGAGTTTAATTCAACAAGAGTGAAATATTTTTTTTTTTTCTTATGCTGGGATTTCTATTGCTCCAATTTGTTAAAAGATTAGTTGGCGTAGTTTGGGAAGAGATTAATGATGTTTATGAGCTTGGGTTCAGTTTTTCGTATTTCCTCTGGTATCTATTTCTAGTTGATGCTATGAGGGTTTTTTGTGAATATTATTGTAGTTTATTGTATGGAGAATTGGTGAGGGTTCTTCAGAAGCATCTGAACTTAGTTTTGGAGTTTATGAGAAGTCTTCTTTGTTTCTTGAAAATACAATGACGAATTTTGAATCGATTAACAAAGCCCATTGGGGTAGTTCTTGTTTTTTCGTCTTCTCTCTGCCTGGTTTGCATCATCTGGTATTAGAGCCAGCTCTGATCACCAATAAATCAACGGAGTGTAGGTGAAGACACAAATGATTTGTACGAACTCTCGATGCAAAATGGGCAGGTCAGGAACAGTCTGTAGCTTGTTTTATTAATGGGCTAAAATTTAAGATCCAAAATGAGGTTTCTTTACATTAGCTTTGGAAAGTATATGAGGCATATCAACTTGCTCTCAAGGTTGAAAGAGAAGTTGCAACAGAGCTGTAGTATAAAAGCTTCTGATGTTCGTCGATCACCTTCATCTATGGGCATTGTGGTGCTGCCCAAATTTGTAGGGGATGTTGAGGATGTTCCTTTCATGCTAATCCTTATCCAAGCCGAGATGTAAATGTCCCAAGTACAGATTGTATGGGGCACCATACAACTGCTAGCTCAAGTCATCAAGTGCGACCAATAAGTGGTACGTTCAACTATTTCTAGTGTTGGGAGCAGCACCATCTCTCGCATTGAGTGCCTCTATATATGATTTGATTGAGTAACAATACAAGAATGAATACGAAGGTGAGTCTATTTATGATAAGGAATTAGAAGGGGTTGCTGAAGATTATGTCGAAGCCAATACGGTCATGACCTCACCCGGTGCTCCTATGGAAGAAAGGTATAAACCAACGTCGACCTGATGTACTTGTGATGGAAACGTGTGCAATGCAATCATGGATGGAAGAAGCTGCACGAACATAGTCTCGTAAGAGATTGTGAACAACTTGCTTCTTAAGACCAAAACCGACCCAAAGACATACAAGATTTCTTGGTTGAGGAAGGGCAGTGAGGTAAGTGTCTCCAAGTGATGTCTCGTTTCCTTTTCTATAGGGAAAACTTATTATGAAGTGATGTTGCCCTAGTCGATGTGTGCTATTTATTGTTGGGGCGACTAAGGTATTTGATAGGGTACCAGTCCATGACAGTACAAAAAACAAGTACACTTTCAGGACGAACAGAGTTAAGGTAGTTTTGCTGCCACTTGATGGTGGGATTCTTCCTGAGCTTGTTAAGAAGGGAAAGAATCTATTCTCCATGTCTGATTTCTCACATGAAAGCCAAGATAGTGTGGTTTGTTTCATGCTAATGGCCAAGGAAGTGGATGCACCAAACCCCATTTATTTGGAATTGGAACCATTGATGAAAGAGTTTAAAGTTGTTATCCCTGAAGTAATTCCCGTGGTTTGACACCATTGCGACATATCCAACGCATGTTTCAGTTGATTTTACTCTTGTTGCAAGTCTCCCCAATCACACTGCACATAGAATGAAACCAAAGGAACATTAGGAGCTGCAAGGCAAGCAATGAGGTGGTGAAAATTGGGCACATTGGACAGAGTCTGAGTCCTTGTGCTGTCTCAGACTTACACCAAAGAAGGATGGATTACGGAAGATGTCTGCGGAGATTCGAGCAATAAACATGATAAGAGTTAAGTATCCCTTTTGTATTCCGAGACTTGATGATATGCTTGATATGTAGGCTGTTATATCTTCTCAAAGATAGATTTATGTAATAGCTATCATCAAATAAGTGAAAGGCCTGGGGAAGAGTGGAATACATTATTTAGGACTTGGAAAGGCTTATATGAGTGGCTGGCCTTGCCATTTGAACTGTTTACACCCCCAGCACTTTCATGCAAGTGATTAATCAGATCTTCCTAATGCTCATTGGAAAATTTATGCTTGTGTATTTTGGACTTATTCATGAATAGCACTTGTATAGAGGTTCCCATCAGTCACATCCGTCTAATGTCGAAGTCTTAGGAATGATAATCTCTATGTGCACCTAAAGAAGTGTACATTCATGACATACAATTTGCTGTTTTTCGGGCCACAGCATCTCACCTGAAGGGATAATGATGGATCTAACCAAAGTGGAAGCTATTACTGACTGGCCGACAGCTCGAACTTGTGGGAATGTGCAAACTTGTAATGGTCTGGCAACTTTATATTGCAGATTTATACGAAATTTCAGCAGTATTTCTCATTAGTCACAATATTTTGAAGAAAGGGCTATTCCAATGGACCAAGGGAGTATAAAAGACCTTTAAATTGATAAAGGAAAGATAACTACAGCTCTTGTGTTGGTGCTGCCTGACTTCAATAAGGTTTTCAAGGTTGAGTGCAATGCATCAGAATTAGCATTGTTTGAGCCAAGAGGGAAGGCATTTTGCTTAGTTTAGTGAGAAATTGAACAGAGCAAGGAATGGTTTTTTGACCTATGATTTGGAGGTCTATGCATCACAAGCCTTGTGCTATTGGAGGCCATATTTGGTGTAACAAGGCTATATTGACTCATTGAAATTCATCAATAGCCAAACGAAGTGAACAACCAGCATGCAAGATGGGAATCGTACCTGTAGAAGTTCAGTTTTACACTTCAACATAAGGCTGGTAGTTTGTACAAAGCAGCTGATGCAGATAGTAAATGATATTTTCTACTTAGTACCTTGTTCCTGAGGGTGTAGGGTTTGAATGGCTCAAAGGATCATACCCAAAGGACAAATATTTTGCCACTGTATATCCAGATTGTTCTCAAGAAAATAATGGCCATGATAAATAATATTTGTTGGGATATTTTATTCAAGGGGACTTTGCTTGTATTTCCGAGAGCTGTCTATGAAAGACTATCACTCATAAATTGCGTAGGAGGCTTGGGAGGTCATTTCAGCGTAATTCTCTCCTTTGATTGGACTCATTCTCATCTCTGGCCCTTGAATGGGAAGGATTAGACTTCAATGCAAACTTCAACTCCTTAAAACTCTCTTTCAAGGCATGGAGTTGTCAGCTTCTAGGGAACTTTCAATTACAAAATACCACCTTGCTCCAATTTTATCCTCATGGCCTTGATCATCATCGAAAGTCAGCTAAGGTCTCAGCTGAAGCTAGACTAACAACTCATCCTCAAAAAGGAGGAAATTTTCTGGCAACAAATGTCCAAGGTGAAGTGGCTCAAATCCAGGGACCTGCTTTCTTCCACCGATTGCCAATTGTAGGGGACATGATAATACCATCACCCACATCAAGGTTTCTGACAGCATCTTTGACCAACTAGCACAAGTAGAGGAAGCCACAATCGACTATTTCAAACTACAGTTTTTCGGCCCCTTCTGGCCCAAAACCGAAGATGGCAGACCTCTCTTTTCTCACTATACCCCTTAGCCAGGTGTCTTGGTTGGAACGCCCCTTTCGAGGAGGAAATCCTTACAACCATAAACAAGCTGGGCTAGGATCGCACTCTGGGCCTAGATGGGTTCCCTATTGCCCTTTTTAATTTGGAACGATATTCTTTCCCTTTTCGAGGAATTTCGTAACAAGGGCATTGTCCATAGGGCAATGAATGCCGCTTTCATTAACTTGATTCCCAAAGTAGAAGGGGCCGAAGAAATCAAGGATTTTCACCCCAAAGCCTTCTTTTCCTCTTCTTCTAGGGGTCTCAGACAAGGCGACCCGTTATCTCCATTCTTTTTTTCCATAGTCACCGAGGACTTCAGCTAGTCTGTCACCCATATGTTCTAGTTCCGCCTCTTACATGGCTTCAAAAGTGGGCCTTGAGGTCCAGTCATAACCCACCTCCAATACGTAGACGCCACCCTCATCTTCTGCAGAGCCTTCCCTAAGGAGGTTGACTCCTCTCTTCTTTTCCTCAAATGTTTCGAGTTTGCTACTGGCTTCGAAGTTAACATGGCCAAATGAAGATGATCAGGGTGTCCTTAGGCCCTCAACTAGAAGCTCGCTGATGGATGGGGATGTTACATGGACATCTTTTCATCCAATTATTTGGGTTTGCCTCTTTGCATTGGCAAGTCCAAAAAACAGCAGTGGGCCCACATCATCGACAAGTTCGACGGCAAGCTAGCTGGCTGAACTCTCTTCAGCAGGAAGAATTAGTATCATTAAAGCCACCCTATGCAATATTTGCATCTATGGATGTTGCTCTTTCAAATGCTTACAATAGGGATCAGCCGCCTTGAATGACTCATGAGGAATTTCCTCTGGTTGGGTGAGGGTGAAAAGAAAATGTTTCATCTCATCTCACAGGACAAGGTCTGTTCGCCCAAAAATCTCAAAGACCTTGGAAATACAATATTGCCCTCCTCGGCAAGTGGTGGTGGAGACTAGCTGATAACCAGCTTTGGATATAGGTT